GTGGCGGATCACCGACTGCGACACACACAAGCAGCACTGGCTCGGCTTCTTTCACACGACCAAGTTTGCTGTCCTCGAATACGGCTGGTGGTAGGTCCGGCTGCACAGCGCCGCTGCCCGCCTCAACTTCTCGTGGGGCAAGACGCCGTCCAGCTCGAACCGACGCCGCAGGGGGTGCTGTCTGCGGTCGTGGCTAGGAAGGTCCGGAAGGTGAGGGAGCGCATCGCGGTGCAGGACGCCAACGAGGAGTACATGGCGGATCTCCACCGCCAGTACCCCAGCTGGTGGAGCAGAGTGGAAGATCTTCGCGGAGCGCGCGGTCAAAGGAGAGGTCATTGTCCTCTCGGATGATGAGGAGCACGGTGGCGACGACGAGGACTTTGACGTTGAAGAATGGCGGAGGATCTTTCCCAACTGCGGCAATGACGACACAAGCCGGGACCCCATGGGCGGTGGGATGTCACGAGCAGATTGACTCGCCCTTTTATAAGGGTGATGATGTTTAGTTCTTGGATTAATTTGATAAATGCGCTCGAATTTTGGCGATTTCAAAAAATGGCACTGCATTTTCCAAAGTCTGCGGTGGCATTTTTCAAAATTTGCAGTGGCATTTTCCAAAGTTCAGAAATTGCAGTGGCATTTTTTGGAATCGCCAAAATTTGAGTGGCATTTATCAAATTAACCCATAGTTTTAAGTTCAAGTTCATGATCAGGTTTAAAAACTAGACTATGTTTCGACGTATGATTACGTACATTATGTGTCGAATTCCATTGTTTAAATCGAATTTATGTTGAAAATTTGTTTTTTACTCCGTTAAATCTAGAACTTCGGCTAGGTCCGATCAAAATTTAGTGGAGTAAAAATCCTCCACTAAGTTTACTCCGCCGTTTATAAGTCAAGTCTGCCCTTATCATGAGTAATATTATATTATGTGATGTACTGATCGACCACATGATCGAAACAAGCTTTGCCGCGAACCAATTTGTGGTTGTATGATAAGAGAACAGTTGTATCCTTTGTCCACTCGAGTTGAAGTCTCGGACTTGACACTGGCGGTTACATTTTTCCAGATTTATTTCACGCCTTCCAGCAATGTACGTTCAGTGGAAGGAGACGTTTCCGTCGACTACGAAAGCATGTGTAACGGTTTCGTCAATCTGATGATGATGTGCCGGTTTAATCCCTTAAAGGTGCTCGTAGGAATAAGATGTGCGTGCGCTTAGTGCCCGGTCAGTTCTCGAAAAAAGAGGAACACACAAAACGTCCTTTGCCCACGTGAGGGGGGCGTAAACCTGGACGTTTGACATCCAGCCAAGCCGGCGCCTCATTCCAAAATCTCGTCGCATGGGAGCAATTCAAGGATCATGCATCATGCCCTCCTCCTCACCGACACAGATTTTCCACTTGCCACCAGTCCAGACATGAACCGGAAGGGAGGGAGTACGAGGAAGGTTCACAGTCGCCGCACCCTGTATTCCCAAACTTTCCGTTCCAGCGCGCACGGGGGCCAAGCAGGCGGCACGCACAGAGGGTGTTTGATGAAATGCCTCACCGAGCGAGCGGCTTTGTGGGGGTTGCGTTCAACTTGCGCCGCTTCAGTCGGCGTCAGGGTAGCGACAGCAGGTAATACCGGTCCCATTGCTTTAGTCATGAATCGAAAGATGCGCGCCTCTTTTGATTTTGACTCTCTGCTGTAAGAATTCATGCCAGCATGCACTATTAATTTGCCAAATACTCCCTTCGTATTAAAATATAAGACGTTTTGTGACATAGTAGTAGTGTAAAAAAAGACTTATACTTTGATGCGGAGGGAGTACTATCGAATGACATAGTCAGTCCTGTCTACGCCCGCCCAATAGAGCTGTTCAACTGAGAACTCTAGATGCCAGTACTGGCCGAACATGCCTGATGTCGACTGTGAACCACATGTTACAGTCTCTGCTTTAGTGCGCTTGCCTGTGTGCACGTATGTGTACCGAAATGCTCAACATTTTCCACACTGAATAGTCATTGCTATCCATTAATTCAACCACACCGCCAACCATATGCGACCTGGAAAATTCCTCTATGACATAGCACACCATTGACTTGACTTGCAACCGAAGGTGCTGCTTGGTTCCCATATATCTGTTCAGTTAGGACGGACGGAGCACATCCATTAGTACTCACCAAAAAATACCTCATCAAATTCTGCTAGGACGGACGGAGCAAACCGATTTCTCACCAAGAAATACCTCATCAATGGAGAGAGCAAGCAAGTGGAGGTCTGTGCTCCCATCTTCCTTTGTTTTACTACTCCCCTTCCTCATCAACCTTGTATGCCCCGGCTGGAAATTCACGGATGCAGGAGACACGCTCCTTCCTGGGCAATCTGTAAATGCTAGCCAGATCCTGCTCTCAAACAATGGTGTCTTCAAGTTGGGTTTCAACCCCAATTTGCAATATTATTATCCCCGGTATTGTGATTTTGGCACCTGGTTCACTAACTCATCGTCCCACGATGATTATTCGCTGGTTTGGCAACCTGATCTGGAAGCGACTTTTGATTGCAATTCATCATCAGCTACCTTATCAGAGAACGGCACGCTACATATAACCGACAGCTTTGGTTCTGTCCTTTTGAACTTAGATTACAGGACGACCACTTCTATCTCTGCCATTGCAGTGCTTCTTGATAATGGGAATCTTGTATTAAGAGACCAAGCAAACAGTTCGCAGGTGCTTTGGCAGAGTTTTGACGGCCCAACTGGTATACTGCTCCCTGGAATGCGCCTAGGGTCCAATTCAATCATCGGCAAGAGCCAAGAGCATGATCCTTTTTTCTTCTCTGTATGATACTCATATGACAAATTTTACTCTGACAGTGGATGCAACAAGAATGCGAGGTTTTATTATTCAGCATAATCCTTTTGGTTTAGTGTTTGCTGGTACTTTTCCTAGCTGGATAGTTCGTGAAGATGGAGACTTTGTTCTGACACTAAATGACGCACATACATACATGCGTTTAAATGGCTCTGGATTTGTTGAATTTGCTAAGCAAGAGGCACGCAGTTCTGTTTTGTGGTCTGCTCCAGAAAGTTTCTGCGACTTTTGAGTCGTACTGTGGACCTTATGGAATCTGCAAAAGGTCAGGCCTCTGCATATGCCCTGCCGGTTTTGATCCATTAAGCACAACATCAAGGAGTTCTCTTGGCTGTTCGAGGGAGGTTCCTATGAATTGTGAAGGAGACAATTCAACTCATCGAAAAGGGGTGTTTAACCCAATAGATGGCGTCTACAAGTTACCCAAGAATTCTTGGCCCTCTATTGCCAGAAATCTGAAAGAGTGTGAACCTCCTGCTTAAAGGACTGTACCTGTACTGCCTTTGCTTACAATGTGACATGCCTGTTATGGTTTTGGGAGTTACGGAACACGGTAGTGCTTGACTCTGGTTCAAATGGCAATCGTTTGTACATACGTGTTGCCACCAAACAACAAGATGGACATTTGGGTTTCAGAGCTGCTCCTCTCTTTCTAACGGCAATGGCCACGTTAACCATCATTGTTTTGGTCATTGGTCTGACTGTTTTGTGGAGATGCAGAACAAAGTTATTCAGAGCAAGAACTGTGTATGAAAACGGAAGCCTTGTGGTCTTCTCATTTGCACAAATAAAGAACTCAACAAAAAAATTCTCTGAAAAACTCGGAGAAGGTGGTTTCGGCTGTGTTTTCAAGGGGACATTGCCAGGTTCTGCTGTAGTGGCCGTCAAAAGGCTAAAATGCCTTAGGCAAGGTGAGAAGCAGTTTCGAGCAGAGGTGCAGACCATTGGGATGATTCAACACAACAATCTTGTCCGTCTACTTGGATTCTGTGCTGATAGCAGTAGCAGGTTATTGGTGTATGAGTACATGGAAAAAGGTTCTTTAAACTCACATCTCTTCTGCAAGGATTCTGCAAAACTGAGCTGGAAACTGCGGTACCATATAGCACTTGGAACAGCAAGAGGCCTGGCTTATCTGCACGAGGAGTGCAAGGATTGCATTATACACTGCGACATGAAGCCGGACAATGTACTTCTTGATGCACAGTTCTGTCCCAAGATTGCCGACTTTGGTATGGCGAAGCTTCTTGGTCGAGATTTCAGTAGGGCCCTGACAACAATGAGAGGGACCATCGGATACCTTGCACCGGAGTGGATCTCAGGGCTGCCGATCACACACAAGGCTGACATCTACAGCTATGGAATGATGCTTTTTGAAATCATATCAGGGCGAAGAAATGCGGAGAAAATTAAAGAAGGGAACTTTACTTACTTTCCCATCTTTGCTGCAGTCAAGCTGCATGAAGGGGATGTTATGTGCCTGTTGGATAGAAGGTTGGAAGGCGATGCGGATGTGGAGCAGCTGAGCAGAGCTTGCAGAATTGCATGTTGGTGCATTCAAGATGCTGAAGATCATAGGCCAATGATGGGGCAAGTTGTTCAGATGCTAGAAGGTGTTCTGGATGTCGAATTACCTCCCATTCCAAGGTCACTGCAGAATTTTGTGGGTATGGAGGATTGATTGCAGTGGCTCTACAGGCCTGTACTGTCTCTGAAAGACTAAAAAAGCTATTTCTATCTGTCCAAATCTATGTCAAGAATTAAGTTTTCAGAGTTATGTGTATTTTATATTCTCTAAACTACGCTTATGCCCTATTCTGCCAAGGTTGTGAACTGCAATTTGCTATCATTATAGACTTGTCATCACTTGTTTCTCTGTTGGCATGATGGCTTGTCCATTCGACGATCAGAACCGTAAATCTTTATGTATTTATACGAAATTGAGTTCAAGATATGAGGTGAATGAATTCTAGTAGATGTACTTACTGCACTATATACTACCATCTTTCCACAAACTAATTAACTAATCCTTCTGTTTGAAGCAGGGTCCTCAATGGTTCACTACAGTACCACACACGTTTGCAGAATATCAATTATGTCTTTTTTGTGCTAAATTTACTTGATAGCACGGTTGTAGATTCTTGTGAATAATTGGGTAACCACATGAAAGTATGGACAATATGAAGACATTTTTGGCTGTCTGTAATGCACAAAATTTAGATTAGATCCATGCAGGGCCGGTCCTGAGATTTTTGGGGCCTGGGGCGAAACAAAAACTCGGGGCCCTCGAATATAACAACAATAATCAGTGTTACCAATGAAGTTTTTTATCAGATAACGTTACACGTATTACCTTAAAAATTTCTTCTAATTCTCAATGCTAAGTCTCTTATGACAGGGTTAATGTCAGTTTCATACATTAATTTCTTTCTGAACTACCTGTACTACTCTTGAAAATTTTGTAAATAGCTTATCTCCGTGATTGTAACATAGTTAGTGGTAAAGCTAGAAACAAAACCTCTTCCGGGTAGATGGTGTCATGATCGACGGAAGCATGTGCAGGCTGCAGACGAGAGGAGCAGCTGATTGTCAGATCATAGCAGTGGAACGCAGATTGAGGGAAGCCGGACGGGGGCATGTACTCGTGTGATTACAGCAGATCGATCGATGACCTTCATTGTGCGCGGGCACCATGTGAGATTGTTGGCGGCGTGCGATAGGAACCTTGGATTAGGGCTTTTCGAAAATAGGGACCGAGGAGATCAGACGATCTTTACATTCCCTACTTACAACTATGAGCCCAGTATACACGGAGATACAGATACGATCTCGGCCGTGCAATCGTGCGTCTAACTCTCAGGACAATCGCGAACCAACCTGTGGTTGAGATGGTTAGATGGACAGTGGTATCCCCAACCCACCAGAGTTCAAATCCCGGTGCTCGCATTATTCCTGGATTTATTTCAGGACTTCTGGTAATGTGCTTTCAGTGGGAGGATGATATGCCGGTTCAGTCTCTCGAAGGTGCTCATAGGGGTAGGATGTGCGTGTGTGCGTTCATAGGGGTGAGTGTATGGGGAGCTCCTATTGGGCGTTGTAGGCGCCCGTTGGAGAACTGGCGCCTACAGCGACCAGCCGTGGGCCGCGGCCCATTAAAAGATCGCTCGATCGCTCCCTTCATGTTCGCTCGCTCGCTCGCTGAAGAAAAATGACTCGCATCGCTGGCTTTTTTTGGCTGTGCTGCGCCGCTGGTTCAGAAAAAAGACCGGCCTCCGGGTTTTTTTACAAGTTTGAATATGTTTATGAAAAAAAGGTCATCGATTTTGAACAAAAAAGTTCACAATTCTGAAAAAAGTTCATCAATTCTTAAAAAGTTCATCGGATTTGAAAATAGTTCATTGGATTTGGAAAAAAAAGTTCATAAACTCAAAATAAGTTCATCGAATCAAAAAAAGTTCATTGGATTTGAACAAAAAGTTCATAGAATCGAAAAAAGTTCATCGGATTTTAGAAAAAGTTCATCGATTTTTAGAATAAGTTCAGAAAAATGTTAAGAAGTTCATTGAACTTGAAAAAAAGCTAATCAGTTTGAAAAAATTCATTGAACTTGAAAAAGTTCACTGAATTGAAAACAGTTCATCAATTTAAAGAAAAAGTTCACGAATTAGAAAACAAATATAATCTATTTGTAGACATTTCACGCATTTAAGAAAAAAGAAAGAAAACAGGAAACAAAAAAAGAAAGGGGAACAAACACAGGAAACAAAAGGTATAAAAAGGGAAAGGAGGCTTTCACAAGTCAGGGCGGTGGCGTAGTGGTCTGTGGAGTTTCTATCAACTTAGAGATCGTTGGTTCGATTCCCGAGCGCGCACGCTTCTCCTATATCTCGTTTTTTGAGTTGGAAAACAGGGGGCGAAATGGGAGTTGGGCCGATCGGCTGTGCCCTCGCGGCCTCGCCTGTACGAAGCTCATGGGCCAGAACTCTAAAGCAAACAGCAACTAATTTTTTTTTAAAAAAACCCCGTCTCATTGTTATAATTAGCATAAAAGGATGTATCCTCTGGTTTCTGTGTAGTGTCAGCCTCTGCTTTCAGCTTGGTTGGAGTTTTTTTATTTTTTCGAGGGAGGTGGAAACATTTTTATATTCAACAAATAAGGAGTTTGGGATACAAACAATTTCAGGAGTCCCTAACAACCACACATAACGACCAGGATGTAATGGTGCTGCCGCCTTTGCCAGATCATGTGCTTCAAAATTGGACTCCCTCATTTCATTTTCTTCTTTGGTCTTGAATAATGGTGCTGCTGACGGCCTGACGCCCAGGAATGGTTTCTCCAGATGATAAACCGTTGCCAGACAGTCCGTTGCGATGATTATCATTCTCAGATAGATATCAGAAGCCAAATTAAGACCCTCCAAGCATGCCATCGCCTCCAAAGGTTCTGGTTCAGCTAAGTTGCTCACCACTACAACCGAAGCCCCCAGATATTTTTGACGGTGAAGCCCCCAGATATGTCCCATGACCGTCCCGTCACACCGCCGCAATGGCTCCTTTCTCCTGGTTCCTTGAAACCAAAGCATCCACATTCACCTCAGCGAAGCCCGAAGACGGTGGAATCCGTCGTTTAGTCCTGGGACTGGGAGCATGAGCTGGACCACTAGAGTTTCTGTTGTTGCTACTGTCAGGAATCAGCGCAAGGTCTCCCAGGTATTTCTGAATGAAACTGAAAGTTGAGAGCGGCGATTCGAACTCCTGCTCATGGATGGCCCTTCGTCTAGCCCACCAAATGGCCCACAAGTCCTTCTAGCCCACCAAATGGCCCATAGACTTTTTCTCTTAAAGTAAAAGGTGGTGCGTGGCCGACCTTATATTTCAAAGAGGCATAGCCTGATGAAGTACAGTTACAAAACTTGTGAAGTGCACCCAGGTGTAGGGCCACAAGCAGCCTGGAAAGAGAAGAAAAGGAGGAGAGAAGAAGAAAAGAAGAAACAGAGCCTAGTCACTAAGCACTAAGCATTTATATCTGGCCATGGGCCAGGCCGGGCCGGGCCTGAAAAAGCCCACGGCAGAAAACTGAGGCCCAGGCCCTCCCAGGCCCTATCACTGGGCCTACTTTTCAAGCCCAAGCCCGACCCATCTGGTAAAAAGCCCTAAAAAGCCCTTAGGGCTTAGGGCCGTGGGCCGGGCCTCTTCTTTAAAATGCCAATATGCCAAGCCCAAGCCCGTCCAGGCCCTATTGATGGGCTCAAAAGTCAGGCCCAAGCCCGGCCCATGGGCAAGCCCATCGGGCCTAGGCCCTGGATTTTAGGGCCGGGCCTGGGTGGGCCGACAGGGCCGGGCCTGAGATGGCCAGGACTACTAAGCATGGTGACCCATGACTGCAAAGCATCCTTGTCCGGTTGTTTGGTGGTTCTGTTGCTACATTGATAACTACGAAGTTGTTACTATGTTTTTCAACAGATAATTCCAGAGGAGTGTGTGCCTCATCTGATGTTTCAGAAAGGCCGCCTTGATGTTTCGAATATACAACCAGGTCATCCTACGAATCACTCCTGTTCATATCAGATTTCTAAAACCAACGAAGACATGACAATCAAAGATTGGAAAAAATGTATGGTCACTCGTAGGGAGGTACTTGGAAGGGACATTAGGCGAAGGGCAAGAATTAAAGATAGGATGATATCCATTCTCCATAATGGAGAGTCATGAACAATCTTGTTTTATGCTATTTTACTTAAGAGAACCTAGTAGGTCCTACGAGAAAAGTAGGTCCTAAATACAATGTGTTATTATGTGATACACCATGCTAGAGTTGATGATGATGAGGAGTTGTAATTATGACTACTAACCAACTTGCTATATGATGTCTCATTGATAAAAATGATGATCACGAGGAGGTGTTATATATGACAATGATGTATTATCATTATAAGTTGTTAATGATATGATGATGATGATGATGATGTAACTCATTCTGATGTAAAAACAATCTCTAAATCGCTACTGTATGAAAACTTGTATAATGGCATATGAATACAAAATAAAATAAAAAAGAAATACCCAACAATAGTAGTAGCGCGGGTAAGGAGGCGCGCTACTAGTAACTACCAGTAGCGTTGTGCACCAAAAGCGCTACTGCTAAGCACGTATAGCAGTAGCACGTGCAAGCACACACTACTGATAAAACTTTAGTTGTAGCGCCGTATCAGTAGCGTGCCACACCGCGCTACTGATATACCTAAAACCGGCGCTATTGCTAGCCTTTTCTCTAATAGTGATATAGCCCATAACGTAACAGCCAACCTCACAGACAGCGCATGTGATACTGATTCCTGATGTGAGAACATCCACTTTTTTGCATTCGGCTGCGCGTTTTCAACTAAGCTCTGTCCCAACTCTTCATCCACGAGTGCCCACACGTGGTGTGCCATAATACACTCGATTAAAGAGTGATGCCATGAATCCGGTGCACCAGCCGCACACCGCTGAAGTTGACATATTTCGATGTTCCCTTACGTCTTCTGTCGAAAGAGAATGATGCTTGGATAATCGCCACAGAAACGTTCGTACTTTGCCTGGGACCTCAGTCTTCCATAGCGATTTTCAAGACGATGCTTCAGTAGGGGCGGTTGAAGGGCCGGACGAGCCCTCGAGCCATGCTTCCCTCGTTATGGTCTC